TCTGAGATGCTATTTGAGTTTGGGGGGAGGGGCGGCTGGTGGATTAACCTGACCCTGCAAGGAGGTAAGGAAAAGAAAACCCAGGCTTCCTTGTCTCCTGAACTCTGGGGCAGCTAGCTAGCCATGTGTGCAGGAAGGGCTGGGGCCATAGTCTAGAGGAGTGAATGTAAGTCCCAGGGCCTGCTGGAAGCCCCCCCCCCCACCCCTAAGCCTTGGAATCTCAAATTCAATTTACTGACCTGAGCCTTTATATGCAAATACTGGGGCACATTTCATTCCAACTTTGTCTCTTTCCCATGACTAAGATGCAGCTATATTGTGTAAGCGTTGGGTCCCTGTCTCCCCAGGAATGATTAGAAAGCTGTTAACATCCTGGTTAAGATCTTTAAGGAGAGAGAGCAAGAATTCTTCCTCCCTAGTTTATCAGGGATTGGCTGGAGAGGAAGGAGACCTATACAAGGCCCTTTGTCTTGGGTGGGTGGGGGCAGATTTGCCCTGCAGTATCCCTACCCCCTCCTCCTTTCTGCAAAATGGGTGTGGCCCTCATCCTGCAGTATCTCTGGATGTTGAAAGGTTGTACTATTCTGAACGCTGAGCAATGGATCATCTCAGGGGCAGCTTGGATCCTACTTCAGGATTGGCTTTGGGAGTGAGGAACACAGGGAGACAAAAGCAGCACAGAAACTGAGGTCGATGTTGAAGGGGAAAGAAAACCACTTCACCTTCAGACTATTAGTCAAGCCTCTGTCCAGCAGGTGAAGTTCTGGTCTTGGCACTCCATTTTGTGTGGCAGGCAGAGTGACATTTTAGAAGCATGTTTGCACAGCCCTGTCATGTTGGTATGTAGGCTTGGTCTGTGCTTTATGTCCCTAGTAGGGATGAGTCTTTTTTTTTTTTTTTTGCTGTATTATTCCCAGAGTCTTCCCAATCAGAATTCCCATTCCAGCCAATCTTTGGTTTTAGGCATTCAGTTTATTGATTAAAGTGTGGTTGGGCCTAATGGGAAACTTGGGGATGGGTAAGAGGGTCTTCATTCTCTGTGCTCTGTGATTATTCTCCAACCCCACTGGATTTTTAAAGAGCTTGTTTGCCCAAATTCCTAAATGATGGCCCTTTGGGGGAGGAGATCTTTGTATTCTAGGCTTCCCCTACTTCGATTTTCCAGGTTCCTTTCCGTTTGCTGCCCCTTCTCTGAAGGTGTTGTGGAGCAGTCTGACCCAGTCTCTCTATTTTCTTTTTTTAACATTCCCAGTTCCTAGCCTCTTTTCCCTCCATGCCCCGCCCCTCTTCCTCCTCCCCCCCTCCCCCTGCAGCTGTGCAGAGCAGCAATTGAATGTCTCCAGTTACGAAGCCCCAGTTTACACAAGTTTTTAGGAACTTCTCTCCCCCCACACCCATGTAATTTGGAGTTCAGCCATATCCTTGTCAAAGAAGGGTTACAGATTATCCAAAGGTAGAGAATGCTTTAGGGCAAAGGGGAAGAAGGGAAGGGATCAGCCATGCACATTTGGAGGCTAAAGGATGGGGGGACCACTCCTGGCACTGGTGCCATCTGGAGAAAAGTGGTACAGGTTGGAACTAGCTTAGTGATAGACATCCTGGAATTGTCTCACTAGCAAAATTGTACTCCTTTTTGTTGGCTTTGGAAGAGGGGACCCAGGGAAAAGAACAGGGCTGGGGATTGGCTCTTAGCTGCCACCTCTTTCCCACTTAGAACTGGGTGCCTTAAGAACTTTCCTGATCCTTGATTTACCGACACCCCATTGTGTGTAAAGGGCCCAGCACTTAAGAACTGGGGGATTTGGGACTAGTCCCAACCCCTCTTTGGATTGTTGTTTCCTCCTGTGTAAAATAAGGTTGAATTAGTGGACTACTGAGGTCTCTTTCAGTGCTAATATTCTGTGATTCTGAGATCCTGTGCACATCTCCAATTCCAATATAGGCTCTTAGACTGGAAGAGACCTTGTTTGTCACAAAGGAGGAGGAGTATGATGGGATGTGATTATGGGGATTCTCTGAGCTTCCATCTCTTGGATGTTCTTACTGAGGACAATATTTAACAGTGGAAGAGACCTTTGGAGTCTGTTGTGTCCAACTGCCTCCTTTCACAGATAGGAAACTGAGACCCAGAGAGGTTAGGGAGAGCCACACAAATTGTAAGTGCCTAGGCCTTTAATGTGGATGTGGGTAGGTCAAGGATCAGTCAAGCATGAGAGAGAAGTATAAAGTGGGATTGTTCAAGAATGCAGAAAATAATTTATTGACTAGGAGTGTGAGGAGAGAGAAGTCCTGGGCATGGAGAGGGCAGAGGCCCAGATTCTTGTGGTATAGTTAATAAGCAAATTAATGGAAAAATCCTGGTTTCTTTTAGCCCCATGTCTGCCCTTCATCAACTAGATAACCTTGGACAAATCACTTGAGTTTCTTCTTTGCCTCAGTTTCTTCATCTGTAGGAGGAGACGACCTTCCAAGTCCCTTCCAAATCTTAAGGTTCTAATTTATTTTTCTCTGTAAAAATTATTCACTGTCCTCTCCCCCTTTCAATCAAGAAAGAGTGGCTCATGGTCAAGAGGATAGGTTATTCTAGTGGTTTGAGTAGACTGCGGTGACATGGAACATGAAATCTGGCATTGTTTCATATGGCAGATCCTCCCAGACAAGTCCCAACCTTCATAGAAGACCCCTTCTGTACTCCATCTCCTGGCTTCAAAGGAGAAGTTGTCCAGTTTCCTGTGCCTATTTCATTTAAGGATTGTGACTCTTAAATGTTATTGAAGGACTGGATTAGAAGTCTTTCATCCCGGGGACAGTTGGGGAAATGAAGGCATTCATTATCCCTTGGTTTATAAAATGGAGGGCCTCTCAATGGATTTTTTTCCCCCTTCTTCACAATGCGTATTTCTGCTACTTAGGATTTTTACAACTTGAATTCAATTTTTAAAAAACTCAGTCAGTTTGGAGAAACAAATTGTACAGTGTCATTTTGGTAAAATTAATGTGATGTATGGAAGCTTTTAGAGGGAGAATTGGGAAAGACCTTAAGTTCTGTTAGTGACATTGGCAGAGTGCTGGGCAATGATTGTAGCTGATTTCAGAAGGAATTATTTACTTTCTGTAAGTCCCTCACTACAGAAGACAATCCTTAATGATTGAACCAATTGCTTACAGGAAGCATTTAAGATTCCATGTTTCCTTTGTGCATTTTTTCTTAACAAAAATAAGCAACTCTAAAATGAATTAATTTAAGTGAAATAGGTCCCTTTTGTTGTTAAAAAAAACAACAACAAAATAAGAGAGCAGACAAAAATCTGATGAATAATCAGGCTCCTTGCCATCAAAATTGGTGATTTCAAGCATTAACATTATAGAATTTTTGATGGACATCTCCTGTTGTCCTAATAAAGGTCAGTGGAGAGTGACTTTTGGTTTTCTTTTGTTGTTGTATGAAAGAGCACAGCAAACTTTAAAGTGTGAAATAAATGTGTTAGTATTGCATTTGTTATGTTTCTAAAATTTAGATTAAGTCTTCATTTTTCCTACCCAAACTTTCTCCTTAAATGTAAGTCTTCCACATAAAGAACTGCATTGCCTCACCCTGAGCTTTGTAATGGACTTTGGTTTGTAGGGAGATTCATTCTCTCCATTTTGAGTCAAGATGCTCCTAGGGTTTCCTATCTGCCCTGGCTATTCTGCCTCTGGGCTTTCTCCAGGATCAGTGTTACTGTGAAGACCACAGGTGTGGTCAGGCTATGAAGAGAGGGAGAGTTAGGTAAACAGTACCAGACCCAGTAAGTTGCTAGCTTTAGGGTGACCATCTATCTATAGAAGCATTATCTGTTCATAGAATATAGTAGGACTGAGGTTCCTATCATGTTAAGTTATTCAGGAGAATCATGACACATTTAGATAGAGAGCCAGCTGTGGAGAAAGTATTTAACCATCTCATATGCTTCTATCTTGGAAAAAAAAAATTACTGATTTAAAAAAAATTTCAATTTTAACAAGTCAGTAATATTATGAATGAGAGCCAGATAATTTTTATACAAAGAGAGTTTTGTTTTCTTTTTGCCTTCTCAATTGTATAGGGAAGGAGAAAAGCTTATGAAATTAAAAAAAAATTAATTTAAAGGGAAAAAAAACTAGCAAGAGGATGGAGGAGACAAAAGAGGCCTTGCATTTTCACTGGGGTCTGTTCTAGATTCTGAATTCAGAACCTTTGTTCAGGTCAGGTATTCAAGTGTAGAAAGGTCAGGTATTCAAGTGGCAGAAAGTGGGAGCCTGGAGCTGTGCGTGTGTGTCAAATTCTGAGGATCATAGTCTTAAAGACACCCTACAAGGCAATCTACGGTCCGCTCTTTTATTGACTGTGATCATGTGTGAATACCAAAGACAACGGTCACTTCTTAAGGAGGATTTTTCAGTGGTCCTTTTCTCTAGCACCCATCTTCTATCTTAACTCAGGGTCTTTTGGAATCTCTATTTCTTCTCTCAGTTAAATCTCCCTAGAATTTAGTCTCTTAGGTTATATCTATCCCTGGGTCCAGAAAGGAAGCTTTTTTTTTTTTTAGTTTTTTAAAGGGGAGCTTGTTTTTGTTTTTTAAGTAAAAAGATAATATTCATATGACCAACTCCAGCTCCTGTTTCATGTAACTGTATGCCAGGAGGAAATGTTTGCATGTTTGTGTCTATGTGAAAATGTGGCCTCCTTTCTCCCTCATCCCTAGCAATGAGGCAGCTGGGCTTCCATAAAGCTGCCATACCATGCTTGCTCCTAGATTAGTCAGCATGAAATAGATTTGAAGCCAGGGATCCAGGGATGGGCAAGACAGAGGAACACGTCTCCTCTCGTGGTGTCCTTCCTGCAGTTCTTTAGATCAAGGCTCACATTAATCTCATGGCTCTTGGCCAGCATCATTCGCTTTGCAATTAAACATCTTCTTATCTTTGCTACCCAACCCAATGGTTAACCGCTTTGTATCATTTTCTGCTCTTCCTCATAGGTTCTGGATAGCGTCTTGGCTCAGTATGGATCGGTGGAGAGTTGTGAGCAAGGTATGTGTCTCTTAAACTCATTTGATTTCAAACTGATCAAAGAAAGGAAGTAGAAGGAAAACTTAATTTGATTGTTCTTGTGGGTTTTTCTCATTCTCCAGTGAACACTGATACTGAGACTGCCGTGGTCAATGTGACCTATAGTAGCAAGGAGCAGGCGAAACTGTAAGTATTCTGTACCATTGCATTTTACACCTGGTTTCCTGATTTCAATCAAGTCATTTTGCTCTAGTTGACACCATTAATGTCCTGGAGAGGGAGGGAGGGAGATGGACGCCCTCTGCCAATGCCCTTGGCTTTCTCCTGGAAGCTCATGGGTAGAACATCAGTCCACATTGATCGCATTGTCTTCATATTCTTAACTGTGAAAAATGTGAAGAGACAGTTCTTTGAAATTTCAGGGATGCTAGGCCACAGACTTATACTGTGGGCCAAAGCATAGCCAGCTGAGCTTACGAAGAGCTCCTCTGTCTGTCTAACTGGTACCATCAGGACAGGAGTGTTGTGTATATTTTATGTGGATATTGTGTATACATATGCATGTATGTATGTGTATCTTACAAAATGTGTGATTTATTCTTTGTGAAATGTTATCAGAGCTCTTGAGTTTAAGTACCAATTGGAAGCCTGGCATTTTATTAAGTTTCTCTTAATTTGAGAAATGGTTGCCTATGTTCTTGGCAGTTGGATTTGTTCCATGAATTGAAATGTATTTACCTCCAAATTCCATAGATAAACCTCATTTTCTTCTTTTCCCTCACTCCCCTGCCCCCGCCTGCCTCAGTCAAACACATACGTGATAATTATATAGATCTAGGATCCAATTGAATGGACAGAACCATTGACAGGTGGATTTGTTATTGTTGATATGAGATCCTCTGTAGAATGAGGTGGTTGTGCTCAGTAACCTGTGATGTTCCTTCCACCTCTAAATCTATGATTCTATGATCAAACCCAGAGAAATAATGCTGTTGAGGATTGCCTGGTAGGTTTCTTGGGTTGGCTGGAATTAATGTAATTATATTGAGGAAAACAACCGCCTCACGTGGTCCAGTTGACACAAAACACAAATCAGCAGCCAGTGATTGTGTTACAAGTGATGGCTGCCTTGAAGAGCTTCAGCTAGAGTTTGACGCTTAACCTACAATCTTTTGACCTCCCGGGAACGCTAGGATTCCAGCAGCCTATGGGCCCAAGGGCCTTTAAATTCTGAAAGTCTTACTAATATTTATAAAGTCACAGGTCATTGTAAGGGTAGGTACCATACTACTATATGGAAAGACAAAGAGGCTGGCAAGACAATGTTGGCCAATCCTCCAGCCCAAAGAGAGCTGGAAATTGGGAAGCCATGTTATAAGAAGGAAACAGTCGAGTATTTTTCCATACTTAAGAATTGATGACCTGTATCTTAGGGTCTAGAGGCCATTTTTTGGCATTACCTTAGAAAAATCTCCTGGTGACCAGAAAAGGAGAGATGCTGCCCCCCCTCTTCAATAAAGGGGGCTGCGGAGCCAACCCCACAACATTCGCTTTCATGTTGTTATATAGTCATATTTGAAGACCAGTAAGCAATCACCTGAATACCCAGGAGGAAAGCCAATATCCCATATCTCTCAGTGGTTTCCAAGTGGCCAAGATGACATTGTCATCAAATTCTCTGCTTGTTTTCCACTAATGTAAACAGATGACATGTCAAACTATATCATTGGCTGGACAATGGCAGCATCTTGAAGAGAAAGGTATTGTTGTCCTTCCTAACTTGTGCTAGGGTTCCAGCTCACATGCTGTGTTGGATTGCTTGCTAAGAGCATGTGGCATGGAAGGATCTAGAACTGTCCTTCTATCTGACTCCATTTAAAATGTTCACATGACGTGTGCCAAGTGATTGGCAAACCTTCAGGCACTGTCTAGATATGAGTTGGGGTCATCTCGTAATGTCGCTCAGGTCCTCCTACTTTTCCCTCTCTCTGTTCTGTGGGACTTAAACTAAGCCATTCCATCTTGCACCCATTTTCCCTACTGAAGAGGCTTATCTAGATAAACTCAAAGACCTCTTTCTGTTCTGAAAAGTGCTATTTAAAAAAAACAAACAACACCTTTTTTTTTAGAACATCCACAAAAAAAAGCAGAATTGATAACTTTCCTTCTCCTAACTTGTGCAGTAAAAGCATCTAAGAGCAAGGAGTGAGGGTATTGGAAGTTGGCTAATCTCCCATGTAGAGAACCATTCTTGCCTCGTGGTCAGTTGGCTGGAAGACCTACCTCACAGGGTTGTTGTGAGGACCTCGTGATGAAAGCAAATGTAAAGCATTATTTCAATGTTGGTTATGTTGACCAACAGAATGCTAACCTGAAATATATTATTTCACGTATGTGTCGATATCCTGCCTAACTTGATATGCTTGGAAAAGTCACATGATTTTCCTAAAGAGCTGATACTAACATCCCTTGGGCATAGCAGCAAATCTTGCTAAATAACCTAACCAAATATCAAGATCGCTAAGCTTGAGTTTCGACTGTTCTTCTTCACGTTCAGAAACTCAGCGTCAGTCTTTGACTCTGGCATGCTGCAAAGTTAGCTTGTCAGCTAAAGCTGGCCACGTGCATGCCCCCCTATGGGCCACCATGGAATTGTGGAGGAGCGGCCCTGTCTCCCATTGGTCTGCGTTAGGTATAGAAATAATTCGTTTATTGCTGATGTTTGCTCTCTCCGATCCTTCCCCTGTTTTGGAGGCTGCTTCTAACTGAAGTGCATTATGGGCATTTTCAGGGGTATCTGAGGGGAGGGAGGGGGAGGAAGAGAAGCAATGTCCTATCCCTGGAGTTTATTGCTACCAGAACAATTTTTTGCACCGGATCCGTGTATTTTCAGAACTGAGGTCATATATAATTCTGCAATATGAGCTGATTTTCTTTGCCCCCCAAAATAAAAATCTTTTTAAAGCAGGCACATAATAAAGTTTTAAAATTATCCATAAAATTGAACAAGTTGACTGAATTTTCTTGGCATTCCGATGCCTTGCTCAGATCCATCGCTCCATGGGTCCTAGGTGACGTTTGGTAACTGTTTACTCACCTAGCTCAGAAGGAGATATTGGAGAGATGATGAATGTTTGGGCTCAGGTTGGAACAGATGGCTGCTTTGGTCCCTTTTCAGCTTTGGGATCCTGTGATTTTGTGATAAATATGCTTTCTCCTTCATCTAGCCTGACAGAAGGGCCTCGTTTTACCTACGAAGGTCGATCTGAGCCATATTTATCTTTATGTGTGTGTATGTGTGTTTGCATGTTTATACACGCACACACACACGCACACATATATGTAATATTGGAAATACTCATCATGCTTCGAATCGACTCGCCCTCAGAGGACTACGAGCTGGTGAAGCAAATAGCACCCAACTTCCAAGTTGGGCTAGGGCAGGGTGTTGATAGAACCTCCCTGACCTTTCCTCCCTTTGGTAGAGCCATAGCTGTGGCTTGCATCAGTCAAATGCATCCTATAAGAATACCTTCATGTACTAGTTTTCTTCTGGTCCCTCTTTCAAAAAGGGCTTAATGTTATTTTGAGGGCTGGTGGTTGAATTGTTAAAAAATGCCATCCCCTCTCCCTTCTGACTCACTTGTATGGTGTTTAGTGATGGCGTTCATTTCTGAACTCTTCTGTTCATTCAGAGGTGCCCCCCCCAACTTAATTGAGGTGTGGCATTTTCCACAAGAGCATCTGGTTGAGTTGGAAGGAGTTGCTCCCTAAGGAGAAATTTAAGACAGTCACATACATGGGTGATAAAGGCAGAAGGAGGTGGTCTCAGGGCCTTGCTCATCTGGACGTGCATGTCAACTTTGCTTGCTTTCCAAGACCTGGCTTTCTGAGATGCGTGTTTCTGATGCCTGCCCAGCAAGGGCTAACAAATGGCTGGTGACAGTTCCTATATGTCCCCTCCCCTTTAACTTTTTATTCCAAGTGAAATATTTAGCAGTTTAGGATTAGTAAGTCCAGCACCGCACTCGGCCACAGTCTGCTTTGCTCCTGGCAGAACACCACCATCGATTACCTTCTTACCTCTGCTCTACTTTGCCCCGTTGGGCCTTCTGGTGTAATTCCAAGGCCCAGCTCGGCAGAGTGAATCAGCGGGAAGACCTGGACCCTCGGAGCTCCTGGGAACCGCCTTGGGAAGAAATCAGCATCTTCATTTAGGGTTGAATTGCATTGCTTTGTGGCAGGTTTTTTGTGTTGTTCTAGTTCTAGAGAAAGAGGGAGCATGTTGTAGTGAATAGAGAGCTGGCTAGGGAGACACAAAGCTTTGGGTTCAAACCCTGCCTCTGACATATCCTGGCTATGTGTCTGAGCTTCAGGCAATATCGTCAGGATTGAATGTGCAGAGCGGGTGGTGACTTGTATTGGCAGAGGGTGTTTCCTCACCTGGGATTTCTCTATAGCAGGGAAATCACAGTTCTGGTCCCTGTCCCAGTCTCTTCTTTCTAATGGTGTAACAGAGGAAAATGAACTGTGGAGAATGTACCTGCATGGGTACTGCATGAAGCATTGCTTGGATTCACTGTTGGGGCCACATTTGGGGCAAAGTTGATTGGGGTTCTATGTTTGCTTTTTTTTGTGAGTGTGTATATCATGTGGTATGAGGACTATTTCAAGTGCTTCGTTCTAAAGTGCCTTTTGTCTTCACCTGCCATTCTTGGAAATTAGTACACAGATGTTTTCTTGGATTCCTCTCAGATATTTAAGTTACATGAAGTAGGTGAAGTTTCTAGGTTAGAAGAGAAGCCAGAGTAAAGGTGAGGAGCAGAACACCTAACGGCTCCTCTGAAGACTAACATTGCCTGCTCGTTTCTGACTTAATTTCCTGGCTTCTTCCTCATTTGTTGCTGACCCAGATGATAACTGATGTTGAATTAGGGAGATCACCTATCAGTTAGACTCAGTCTCTTTACTTAATGCACTCTACTGTTAGCAAGTAAAGAAATTTCCCCCTGGTGTCCCAAGAACATTTTTTATTCTTTTTGGTGAGGCAGTTGGGCTTGAATGGCTTGCCCAGGGTCACAGAGCTAGTAAATGTCAAGTATCTGAGGCTGGATTTGAACTCAGGTCCTCCTGACTCCAAGGCTTGAGCTCTATCCACTGTGCCACCTAGCTGCCTCACAAGTACATTTTCTTGGGAAGATCTTTGACCTTGTACACTAAATTCTTCCCATCATGGTTTTGCTTTGGGTTCCAGAGCCATAGCAAGGGTTGAGCAACCTGGACACTCAGACTGAAGCTACAAAGGTAACACATACACTTCCTTAGCAAAGAAACAAATGATCTTAGTTGAAATCAAATGTACCCCCAGGACAGTAACTAATCCCTCTTAATGAATATATTGTCTTTATATCTTAGATTACAAAGTTAATTTAATAATATGTTCTGTCCTGCTTATCCCTGGTACCAAAATTGCTAGTTCTTCTACTGGCTCTCTCAGCCTAGGCCAGTAAAACAGAAAGGGAGCTAGCAAGGCTTCTGTTACAGGGTCCAGGAACAGACTCTGTGTCTGATCCCAAGATCACTCCAGAGTGGGTTATCAACAGGGTGATCAATTTTCCAGTCTCTGTGATTGATGACGTCATTTCACTGAAGATTAGAAGGTTTATCAGTTGCTTTGGTAAAGCACACGCACTTTTGAATCACAGTTCTCTGGCACTGTTGACATGAGCACTTGGAATAAAGCATGTCTGTGTGTTTCTTGTTAGCTGTTGGTGCCCCCCTCCCCCCCATTTTGCCCCATTTAAATGAACAACAACAACAAAACATCGTTTGGAGTTTCTTTGTGTGTCTCCTCTATAGAATTTTGCAAGAAAAAGCCTTAAGTTTTTTCATCTTTGACCATTAAACTTAACTTATGGTTTGTTTCTGTTCCTTTCTTTTCTCCCCCACCTTGCCATATCCATTTGTTGGTGTATCAGTGCGATTGAGAAGCTGAATGGCTTTCAGCTAGAGGGGTACACCCTGAAAGTTGCCTACATCCCGGATGAACTGGCCGATCCGTCTGCATCGAGCTCTCAGGCCATGCCGACTCGCCGTGGCTATGGTCATAGGGGACCGCAGAGACAGGGATCCCCAGGAGGAGCTACTGGGCAGAACCACCATAATGATATTCCTCTTCGTATGCTGGTCCCAACCCAATTTGTTGGAGCAATTATTGGGAAAGAAGGTGCGACCATTCGAAACATCACCAAGCAGACCCAGTCTAAGTAAGTAGCCTGTGTGTCAGGGACATAGCAGGAATTTTCATGTATGTTCCATCAAATCACCAGTGGGGCATGGGGTGGGGGTGGAAGGAGTGCCCCCCAGCACCTTCTGTCTGAGGATGGTCTCTTGTTAGTGTCTCTGGCGTGGCTTTGTGGAGTCCAAAGACTGCAATCTTACTGTCAAAGGGGATTGCAGAGGATTGTCTTCCCCCTTGGAATTGAAATGAACATGAAAAACTTATCTTGCCAACATACTTCCTCTCTCATCTCTTGGGCCCCAGCCTACTGGTAAAGCAGCTACAAAAGATTCTAGCAGTCTACAGGGCACCATCCCTCTCAGCTTCTTTCATGGCCTCCAGCAAACTTCAGAAATGCCTTTTTCAGGCTAGCCGGGCCTTCATGAATAACCTGGACTTAGTCCAGCAGCTCACATTTATTTGAAAGAGGAAACCAACAAAAGCAACCTTCCCATTTGTCTTCACATTGCTACCTATAGATTGGTAGCTGGTGGACTATTAGAAATGTAAAATATTTAGGAATTTTGAAGCCATGGGATTAAGGAGGGGAAGGAACTGAAATGTATTAGAAGTAGGAACATAGAATTATATACAATGTATTTCAGCTCCCCTTTCCATGTCTTAAATCACCTGATCAGTTCTATATAACATGGTTTCACATAAAGATATTTGGCGTGTATAAGAGATGTGAAGTCCTGGGGAAGAAAGAGGATGGGGAAATGATTTTAGAGACAATCTGTGCCCCACCCCCAGCATATTGTCAAGGGAAGCCTACCTAGGACTTGCTTAATGACTCTGAAAGGTTAGGGTAGGGGGAGCTTTGTGCTGGCCAGCCAGAGGCACTAGACCCAAAGGTGCCAGGGTGATTGAAAATAACATTAGCCATGAAAATGTTCAAGTTTGTGGAAAACCAAAAGTAAGCAGATTTTTCAGTGAGTTTAACGGGCTTATCATAAGTGTCTTGCTACAAAAGGCAAAGTTAAAGCGTCATCCCTCTCCTTTCCCTGCCAGCTCCCATACTTGTTGCTGACTGGATGCACCCAGCTGCCTTCTAGCCAATAAGCAGTAGTGGGAAAGTAGCTGTCCTTGGTAGTGGAACAGGCTTCCCTCTTCCATAGATGGCAGGATGGCAATCTTCAGACAGTTTCCACTGGTCTTCTTCATCAGAGTGAGGTTCTGGGCACTCACAATTGATGCCCTGTTTTATGGACTTATGTTAGGCTGATCTGGCCAGTGTGAACCTGCCATTCTTGTTCAGAGGAGGAGGGAACAGATTTCCTCAGAGAGAAGCTATTGCAGAATGGGAGGGGTGGGTGGGGGTGGGTGGGATGAAAAGTTAGTTGGTGGGAGGAGGTGGTAGAAGGAGGGTCCCCCCTTTTGAAATTTTTTTTTGCAGAAGGTGAGAATGCTTTGCCTGTGTGCAGACTCAAGTAGCACTGGAACTAGCTGATGGCCAAAATCTAATAGAAAGCAGGCATGGTCTGGGAGGGATGGGAGCCTGTAACCCAAAAGCTTAGCTAAGCCCTAACGCTTCTCCTAAGGTCCCATGAGCCTCTTGACCCATTTGTTATCTCTTCCTCTCCCCACTCCTCACCCCCATCCAGCTTTATTTTTCAGAGTGTGCTGCATCTCTTAACGCACCACGGTCACTTTCTAGCTGGTTTCTTCTTCTTCACCATATGCCAAATTTGGGTGTTTCTTATAAGGTCACCCATTGACTTACCTGATGGGGTATAGCTATGGAATCTGGTCCACCATGTTTTCAATTCTGCAGCATAAATTTGTTGACAATATATGCCATGGGGGGGGGGGGCGCGGCAGAAATCTGGGTGATAGAACCCAAGAGGAGGGTGGTGGACTTGTTCTATCCAATGCTCTGCTGATCCTTGCCAGTGGATTTAATTACCTTTGGCTACAGAAACTAATCATTATTTGATGGGCACACTTTCTGAAGTGGCCTCAGAAGGCTGCCCTAATCAGCAAAGCAACATTCCCTCCTCCCCTAAGTGATCTGATGTTTAATTGCTAATGGAGTAAAATGGATGGGGATAGATGGGAAGAGACTGTTGGTACCTCTTTCCAGATAACGGGCATTTGGAAAAATGTGGCTCTGGAGAATAATGGAAACCTGGGGTATAGAAATCCTACTAGACCCTATCTAGGGCTTCTTCCTTCCCAATGGCTGCCCGTGTTGTAGGCGAGATTCTCTTGATGTCTGCTTAGCCCCAGTTGGCCATCCTGTTCAATGAGAGAAAACCAGTGACAGAGCTGTGGTTTGCATTTGCTACTGTGCTGGTGCTGAGATGACCCTGGCGGCTTCTGGGTTTTTGGCAGGGAGGTAGGGTGCAGGTGTGGACAGCCTTGAGGCATCATTCCGTTATCCCCAAAAGGGCACGGCCTGCAGTACTACTAGGAGCCAAGCTAGCCTTGGAAGAGCCTGCCCGACTGTTGCCAGCCTGATAGAAGGGCAGATTAGGGCAGTTGGCTTCCCCCAATTGATGTAATGTGTTTGGGGATTAAAGGAAGCCCATGGCTGGCTTGTCAGTTTCCCAGCTGTAGTTCCAATTGTGCCTGTACCAGCTCGGTTATTGCGAGGTGGAAGAGAGTCTATTTGCAAACCTAGCCACCTCCCCTGAGGCTGTCCCACTGTGTGAGATGGGCGCCTGATGCTTTGACATAGTCCTCTTGTCAAGGACATCTCTGAGTAGAAGGTTGAAGAAGAGCAGTGTGGGAACCCAGGCTTGGCTGAGCTCTCCCCCACCCCCTTTTGCTGAAGGGAGGTCCAAGTGGGGAAAAGGAGGAAACTTAAGGAGGTGAGGTGATATGACAGGAGGACTGGATTTGGAGTCTGACTTCCTGGATTGGTATCAGCTCCATTGGCTTATCTGTGATATTGGGCAAGTCAATCTCTCTAGGCCTCAGTTTCCTCATCTTTAAAAGAAGGTGGTTGGCACAGAGCTCTAAGGTCTTTTCCAGCTCTATATCTGTAATCCAGTGCTTGTAGAAATCAGAGCTGGGGTGTGGCCCTTATGGCAATATACATTTCACAATCACCCATGAGAATTTTGCAGAGACAATTCCTTTATCCTTCAGCCACTCCCCACCCCCTCCAAAACTCCCTTGCCATGCCCCTTTGAGGGCAGGGGCACCCTCCTTTCATGCCCCCCCCCAGGCTTTTCAGGGACTGCTTGGATGGTAGCTGCTGCCTGTGCCTAACGCCCTAGAGAGCTGTTATCTGTGGTGGTGGTGGTGGGAAGGACTCTCTCAGAGATATGGTCAAGGTAAAGACGTGGGTGTGGCATGATGGATGGGGAAACATCGGAAAGCCAAGGTGGGGAGGGGTGGGGCTTGTGATACTAAGAAGTTTGTAAGCCCTTGTCTTGAACCCAAGGATGATATTTGTGCCTTTACTCCTGAGTGTTACTCCTGAGTAGTGGTCCTTTCTGCTACAGAGACCATAAATCCCTTAACATTTCTCTGTGCGTGTGCTTGGAATTGGATAATTCTGATGATAACCTGAGAAATGTTCACACTAAATGCATGGTCAGCTCTTGATCATCTACCCTGAAAGGGGGAGAGCAGTGGTGCAATTGCCATGGGACAGTGGAAAGAACAGTGTTTGGAGACAGAGGACCTGGGATCAAATCCTGGTTCTGCAACTCCTACCTGTACGACCTTAAGCAAATCAACTTCACTGCTCTGGGTCTCAGTTCTTCATCTCTTAATGTGAGAGCTGGACTAAGCAACCTCAGAGGTTCCTTCTCGCTCTAAATCCATGACCCTTTAATGCACAATTCCTTCTTGTCTGCCTTTTCTTGGCTCTGTAAGACTTCTGGGTAGCAGACTACTTTTCCACCGGCATTTTGCTGAAATGATGATGACAATAAACTTACAGTCCTTGAGCACCTACCGTCCATGTGGGAAGCACTGAAAGGTGGCCCAGAAACATTTTAGATTGTCGACAGAAATTCCGGGATTCTGATTCACGGGAAGAGGTCACCAGGAATGGAGAGATGCCCTATGGGGATAATCAAGAGTTGACACTGGGGGGGTGGAGTGACTTGCCTCACTCTTTGCCCCCACTTGATTTGGCTCAGAAATTGGGAGGTGGCTTGTGAGGCTAGACCAGACAAGAAGATGGGTCTCTGGAGGCTAACCTTCCCCCCACTTCTTTTCCCCATTCCCACTGAAAGGATTGATATTCATCGCAAGGAAAATGCTGGTGCATCTGAGAAGCCAATTACTATTCATGCTTCTCCTGAAGGCTGTTCAACTGCTTGCAAGATCATCATGGAGATTATGCAGAAGGAGGCCCAGGATATGAAATTGTGAGTAAAAGGCTTTGCCTGGGGAGGATTCCCAGGTCAGTGTTTATCATTCCGTGGTGCTTTCTTTTGGGTCTTTTTAAACAGAACCCTGCTACAGTACTAAGGAGTGAAGGGTAAGGTGTCCACATGTTTCACCAGTGGCCTTAGCTGTGGGAGACAGAAGTGTTTCCGACACTTCTGTTACCTTGGTTGGGAAACTGAAGCCCATTGGTCTGAGCATAGTGCTTTCCAGTTAATGCCCCTGGATGTGGCTGCTTGTGGGGCATTGGGGCGGGGCTTTCTTCAGTTTTGACACAGTATTGGCTCTTGGTCCCCCATAGAATTTTGTTGCTAAATCATTTGCAGAGGCTGATTTAGCTCAGCTACCCAAGGGTATGCAGCACACCTAGTGAATAGAACACTGGGCTTGGGGTCAGGGAGCTCTGGATTCAAATCTTGCCTCTGACACATAACTACCTGTGCAATTATGAGCAAGTCTCTTCTACTCTCTGAGCCTCAGGGTCTTCATCTGTAAAATGAGTCTGATGATCGTCCCAGTAAGTACCCACCCCACAGGGTTGTTATTTGGTTTACGTGAGGTGATGCATGTTGTGTTCTCTGCCATCCTGGAAGTCCTTCAGGAATGTCATTCAGCATTCACCAAACACCACTGGGCCATCCATCATGTCCTAATAATGGTAGCCACTCTGAGATGGGGAGGGAGGAAATGGGACCAGCAGAGTTTTGAGCAACTTGGAAGAAAAGTACCTATTCATTTCAGGGTGGTCATGTTTGCATCTCTTGAATTTTAGACCTTGGCAATCAGTCTTCTGGGTGTTGATAATCCTTAAGAGGGCTTTTGTGGGAACTGAATGTGTTTCTCAGTTGCCTGGATGGCACTGGAAAGGCAGTGAAGGCTGTCCCTGATAGGTTTTGGGATCTTTGCTTCAAAACCTTGAGTGCCAGGGGGGCATTTGTGTGATGACCCAGCTCTAGCTAAAGAAACATACCTAATTCCTGTGTCTCTCCTCGGGTTCCTTGATGACCGAGGCAAAAGAGAGAGCATCTCTTCCCCCTTGCAGAGATATCAGTGCAGGGAGTCCCCTGATTTCTCCTTTTAAAGGAAGTCAGTCCTAAAATGTCAGCCTCTTTTCCATGACCTACAAATTAGGGGCCAGTGGGGGCTTAGAAGCCTCCATGCTGTTAACTTGCTTATTAATTCTACCTGTTATGCTTCAGTTACATAGCTGCTTTTCTGCACACTAAGTGGGCATTCTTGCAGGCTGGTGACCAAAGTCTTGCTTGATCTTTTACATTGTCAAAAGGAGTCTGAACAAAGCCTTTCCTTCTCTTTCCCATCCCACTTTCTCCCATAATTGTCAGCTACATCAAAATTTGATTTCTCTAAAAATGAATTGGCCTGACCCATCCTAGTGAGGGGTAGGCAGAGGTGCCAAGCAGAATGCTCTCTTGCCAAGGGCAGTGGGCACCCTCATGATCCAGATATCTCTATCTCCAATAGATATTTTGAACAGGAACAAAGAGGAAAAGAGGGAGACATTCCCCTGTGTCTCTCCAACCTGGCTTGGGTCCATTTCTTTCTCGGCCTCCTAGACCTCTACCGTTCAATCCCTGGCCTTGGTGCCTGCTGACCAGCCAAGAAAACAAGAGTGAAAAGGCTCATTTGGGGATCAGAAGAATCTCCCAAATTGCTCAAGAACTTTGGTGTTCCTGGCCAAGTTTTATTTCCCACTCTTTCCATTTTCATCTGCCTTGACAGATTTGCTCTTAAGACAATGTCCTGTGATTAAATCTGTTTCCTAGAATCCAGAAGAAGCTCTGAGGGGAAGCAGCAGTTACCAGTGGCAATAGCTGCCTGTGGGCCAATCCCCGGAGTTGTCAGAATCCTAGAAAGAGGGACTAGCTGACTCAGTGTCACCTACTGCTCACCCCAGTTCTCTGGTCTCCCCTCTCCCAATTTATGACCTTTATCCCCTGTGAGATCCAGAACTAGGGGCTTGGAGCTTGAGGGAAATGGTGTCTTGATCTCACTCTTCTATGAGGGAAGTGGGGATGGGGTGAAGGGCTGATATACAGAATTTTGTGGGATGGTATAAAGACCAAATATACATAGCATGGGCACTAGGAGCACCTTTTCCAATGGAAATGTTTACCCAAGTGAGGAGGACACTTGTGGAAAGGGGCCCGTTTGACTGGGGACTGCCTTACCAAGGATTTGCCTTGACCAAGAGCAGCAGCTTTCTGATATTGCACCAGTTTTTTTCTCTAACAATTCCCGAGTAAAGATGCTTTCACCAGTGAGAGTCCCTTCTTTCAGAGTATGTCGTGTTAACATGAAAGTGGTATTAGCCTTTCTTAGTGTCTGAAGGTTTTGCAATATGATGCTGCTCTGTGGGGGTTAGGGAGCAGGTAATTTGGGTCAAGAGTTTCCAAAGAACAAGGTAGTTGGACTTATTTATTAATGTCACTGATTTTTTTAAAAGTGGTTCTTGCTTTGATAACAGAATCCTGGAAATGAAAAAGTTCTTTAGAGCCCATCTTGTCCAGTCCACTGTTATTTATTTAGACCAGGAAAATGTGTCCCAGAGAAGGGAAGGGAATTGTCCAGGATTCAGCTCTTCAGCAACAGAACTGGGGCTAGAGCTCCAATCTTCAGTCCCGTCTAGCGCTATCACCTTTAATTATAAATTATTTCTCTATTCCTAACAGGCACTTCCATGGTATTTCATCTCGGACCGCGCTAAGTGCAATGCCTCGTTCATAGTAGGCACTCAAATGTTTGCTACATGATTGGATATTATCTTTTTATTCAAATTTCCCCTTCCCCCCGCCTGGAGTTTCTGATGGTTTTTGTGATCTTGCAGCAACGATGATCTTCCTTTGAAGATTCTGGCTCATAACAACTTTGTTGGCCGCCTGATTGGGAAGGAAGGAAGGAACCTGAAGAAAATCGAGCAGGATACTGATACCAAGATCACCATCTCGCCGTAAGTATTGCACTGGCTTAAGATTTTGACTCGAATATCTTGGGATGCTATGGGAGCCCAAGCCACCATTAACATAATTTCATTCAGTGGAGCTGACTCACTTCGATTTGAGTTGCTACTCTCCTGTGTCCTGTCTATGTACTTAATAAAATATGTTCACTCTCATTCTTCCAAATCATCTACCATCCACAAGCATATATCCTTCTGGAGCCCCCACTGGAGGTGGTGTATCTGTTTCCAGTGGAGGAGCAAGAAGGATTAAATGTTGAATTTCCATGTTGGTTAAGAGGGTTGCTAAGGCAACATGGCTTGCAGTAGTAGAAAGAAGACTAGATTTGGAGGCTGAGGGATCTACATTCAGATCCTGTCTGCAAGTTACCACCTCTCTAGGTCTCAGTTTCTTCAACAGTAAAATGAGAGATTTAGACTGCATGGGTCACTAAAGTTCTTTCCAGCCCTATGTGGTCTGATCATATATTAAGTTCTCTGGCCCAGTGGAATGGAAAATCAAGAACTTTTTTTTTTGAGGGAGAGGAATACATGAAAAATGTTTGCCTTAATGTAAAGGAAAAGGGGAGGGAAATAATAACTAACATATCTACATAATTCCTTTGCCTTTATTTATTTTGCTAGGAGATCTCTGCCCACCTGCCAGGATCACAACTCCTCTCTGCTTTAGACAATTATCTGAGACTCAGAGAGGTTAAACAACTTGTCTCTAGTCACACAGCCAGTAAAGCATTGGAAATGTGGGATTTGAACTTATGTATTCCCAACTCCAAGTCTTATACTCTATCTGCTACACCAGGCTAACTGCAAAATAAATAGATGTGAAAATTGGTTTGTGATGACAGCCCTTCCTTTCTCAGTGAAGTGCCCTTTTAGGAAGATGCGAGGGAACATATGAAAATATAAAATAACAGGAGAGCAAAAGTTGGCATAGTATGGCCTCTTCTCTTTGGAGAAGGCAAAGATGGTTTTCCTAACTGTATTACAATCAACCTTTCTAGTGAAATTGAAAAGTATTGAAAAATAACATCTAATGAACCTAGGCTATTTAGCTTCATTCAGGGGTTTATCCACTAGTAAATGCCTTTAAATATTATAATGTCATCTGAGTCCCATTTCCCTTTGTTATTTACTTCCCTTTCCACCATTGTTTTAACTCATATCTAAGTGGCTTGAATTGGCGTTTTCTGTTTCCTGGCCAAGGCCATCTTAGAAGGGCAGGGGGTGGGGATGGGGAGAGGGAATCATGTTCCATCAGAACTCCTAGTTAAGATTCCAAGTCTCCAGCATGACTGCCTTGCCCCATTTCATGTTGTATCTTAACGGTGTCTGAATGATCTAGTCCATGTCTGCGCCATTAAAGCTGATGATTTTGGTTTCTTGTTTGAAGTTGTTGGTTAAGGTAGGTCATAGAAGATTTGGCTACAACTAAGCTTCCGGTCTTTGAAAGTGGTGAGTGCTTCCTCCTTGTTGGATGGCCCCGAAAACATTGCCTTGGAAAAATGTAAACACCGGATGTCTCCATCTGAACTGTACGTTATTTGAAAGATTAAGTGCTGTCCTCTCTGGAATGGCCGTAGTCTTTTCTTCAGACCGTAAGAACGGAGCTAAAAGTGTAACGGGGCCCTGCTTGATGCTCCTCTCGGCTGCGTAAACTCTTACCTCACGAATCCTGTTGCCTTGCATTTCACTTTCAAATGACCAGTAGACGTGACTCCAACTTAAATGGTTGATCTCTGAACACCATTTAAAGTATGCTTTCAAACTGAGCTGCAGTTAAGGGACCAGTTTTCTTCAGGATGCTGTGAAGAGAAGTTCTCTTGCCTTCTTCTTTATCTTACAATTCTTTCCTTCTTGCTTCTTTGCTAATTCCTACGATGTTTGACCACCCGCTTTTAGCTATTACCAGCTCCCACGGTGGGGTTTGAATCACCATTTGTACCTATATGGAAATTAACTGTCTCTTCTTAATTCTTTCTTCCTTTCTTTCTCTTTTTCCCTTCCTGTGTGTGTTTTTTCTCCACTCTACAGACTGCAGGAGTTGACCCTGTATAATCCTGAGCGTACCATCACCGTTAAAGGTAGCATTGAGACCTGTGGCAAGGCCGAGGAGGAGATCATGAAGAAGATAAGGGAGTCTTATGAGAGTGATCTCAGTGCTATGAATGTGAGTTCTGAAATACTGGAGGTGATTGACTTTTTTTTTCCTCCCTTCCCTGTTTTTCTTTGCTGTATTCTTTTGGTGAGGGTGGTCAGTTAGGAATTGAATGAAATATTTTCCTCGTTGATAGAATTGTAACAGTCCTTGCATTGTATCAATATGGGTTTGGTGTTTGTAGTTGAAAGGGGATGTGCTAGTGATTGGACAATATAAAAGGGAACTGTGGGGTGGGTTAAAAATGCAAGTCGTCCTCCCGCCGCCCAGCTTTTTCACCATTAGTTACAGCTTGGGATACACAGAAGGTTTCCGATCGACAAGGCAGTCTGTCTGGAGTAAAACACAGGTAGTACCCAAGCAGATCAGTAGGAAAGAACAAGAAATGATAGGTTAGAGGCCTTCATGGCTTAGGGATTCAGCTCTGAAGGGTGGATTTCTCAAGGAAAAGTAGACAATTAATGGCGGCCTCACCTTGGATAATGTTTCTAAACAAGAAAATTCAAAACTGAAGGGGCTGTAGTTGATGAATGGTGCTTCCTGAGGTGTTCAAGTAAGAGAAATGGGATCAGCCAGTCTTTCAAAACGTCCTCAAGTAGAGAAGAATGAGATGTAGACCCAAATTCAGGAGTCAAGGAGTCGCTTTAGCACTTCTCCTGATTTCTCTTTTCATGGCTTCATTCAAACTGCCCTCATGGCTGTGCCCTCAACTTAAAAATGTGGCTTCTTGCTTCTAAACCTGTCTTCTTTTCAAAACCTTTGCATACATTTCAGGACCTCACTTCATCATTAAAATGACCCCGTGAGACAGAGCCAAAGTGATCTATCCTTACTTTATAGTAAGGCCATCGAAGGCCAAATCATATAATTCTAAGCCTAGAACTTTGGTTTTTCCCCTTTTAAAGAAAAAAGAAAGCTAGCCTTTCCTTGCTGTGTGGCTGTTCATGAAGCTCCAACTCTGCATCAAACCTGCTGTAGAAACAGTAAAGGTAGCTGCTTGGTGTAGCTGTGGCATCCTGGTTTGTGATGGTTCCCCTCTCTGTGGGGGGGGGGGGTGAAGGCATATACCATCATTCTCATTATGACCAAATTGGCATTTTCTCCAGCTGGCTTAAGAAAAGATGATGCCCTTTAATTGTATAGGGTGAGTTTAGGAGAGTTTGAACAGTCCTTATCTGGACCAAAAAGATTCCCCCAGTTTTCCACTGTAGGATCCAAATTCACATGCCTGGAGCACCTGCCCTGAGCTAGGGCAAAGTAGTATTCTTGGAAATAGCACCTTGGACTGTGAGGGGTTAGCCTGAGCTTGGGGGTAAGGGGGAGAGAGAGGAGGAGGGAGAGGGTGATGAAGATGAAGATAGGAGAGGGTTTCAATGTTAGTATGTATCACTACTTGTCAGGAATTGTCCAAGGGGGGGCTGCTTGGAAATAAATCTAGTCTTCAGCCAAATAAGATTCTTTGTCCCTAATGGGTAATTTAATTCTTGGCTTTCTCTTTTTTCTCTTTTTCAACTGCACCGTCCCCCTCTCTTCCACCCTTGCCCCTTTTCCAAAACTGAATAATTTTCTACATTCCCTGTCCTTTCCGTCTCCCCCACCCACCCAAAAAGAGAGAAGAAGGAACTAGCAATGTCAAAGTTAGAGAAGGTTGGTGGATGGGGGGAGTCTTTCCTTCTGAAGGACTTAAGATGCATGAAACTTTGTTAGGCCTCTCTTCAATCTGTCTCATTCCTTTCTTGGCCATCCTGCGTTTCCTAGCTCCGTAGATCTGGTTTGGGCCTCAGTGGAAGAGCGTCACCCATTGGCAGCACCAAGAGTTTATAAGTGATTTGGTCTGTATTCAGTGGGTAGAACAGTGGATCAGGTGGCACAGTAGTGGCGGTTATGGTCCCTGCTGCCCGTGGGCACCACTCCCATCCATCTCGGGGAGACTGAGCAGGTGAAAGAGATTAATGAAACCTACAGGACACAAGCAAGTGCAAACTCCCCCTTCCCCTGCTGGTTTGAGGGGTTGTTCAGGTGATGTTTGGACATGTGAATGCCAAAGACTTGCTGTTATTCTTTTAAAAAGAGAGTGTGAGAGCAAGAGTGAGAGAAGTGGTCCTGTTCTGGGTGTTGTCTCGTCTCGTGATGGAGCTTTGGCGTTGAACCTTTTTGTCATAACATACGTAACCTTCCTACCCTTGCAGCTTCAAGCCCACTTACTTCCTGGATTAAACCTGAATGCCCTGGGTCTGTTCCCAGCCTCTACTACTGGGATACCCTCACCCTCCACTTTGGGGGTTCCTTCGGCCGCAACTGCTACTAACTACCTGGCATATGGGGTAAGCGTTTGGTTTGGGGCTGGATAAGATGAGTGAGGAAGTCTTAGAAGGGTGTGACAGGGCCCTTGGAACAGCCAGCCTTGAGCAGCATCTCTGGCTAGACCTGCTGCGACTATGGAAAGCCACTGGCAGCAGAGAGCTTGGGAGGAGGGCTGGGGAGGAGATTCCCAATCAGCCACTTGAGCCAGGCCAGCCTTCTGGGCTCTAATCCAGCTTCAATCCCAGTGCACAAATCCCTGTTCTGTCCATTGGCTGAGTCCCTTCAGCCCCTTCCCATAGGAGCTGGTGGGTTCTGTTTCTCCAGCACCTAGCACTGAGCCTTGCACATAGTATGTGTTTGTCGCTGGTTAGATGGATTTGGGGAATGTCAGTCAATGGTGTGTTCTCAACAGAGTAACCTCACTAACTTGAATGTCAAGATTTACTCCGAATAACAAATGTCAGGGACTTGTTTCCTTCCTCCCTTTAGGAAAATCAGGAGCCTCTTGGACACTGGCATCTAGGCAGACTTTCTCCTTCTTTGTTTGATGGGGGGGTGGGGAGCCCTCCTAGTTGACTAGTATGAGACCTGGCCAAAATGTAAAGGAAATCCTCCCTGGGCCCTCCACATACTCCTTGTCAAAGGAGTCAATGTGCATTGTGGTTCCTGAATTTTAATCTCCCTCCCCTCGACCTGGGCCCATCTTGAAGATGAGCTTCCTACTGAGTGACACCTGGTCTGGGATTGCCTATTTGGAAGTCTGTGTCATTTTTGGAGTTTTAAGAGCTACCCACCCCCATTGTGGGTTTGGACAACTCCATCCTTTGACTTTTTAAATGACTCTGTCGATGTGTGCCCTGCCTCTCCCCAGAACAGTTTTTCGATAATGTTACCCTAGAAATTTGATGTCTAAATGGTAGCCATGAATTAATTCTCTTTGTCAGCCTCTATCATGGTTCAAGGAGTCTATTTGGTGCAGTGGTGAGAGGGAGAAGTGATTTTTCCCTTCCATGTTCTCCCTAAGAGCCCACTTCCCAACTCATTTTTGTCTACCACCTAGTAAAGTAACTTTTCCCATTTTTATCTTCCTCTCTATCCTCCATCAATTTTTCTTCTTTATGAAATAAATGATTTCAAAGATCCCCAAAGTGCCTTCTTATCTTGGCTGTCCATTTTAAGGGCTTTGGGAACCGGTTTTTGGCCCTCAAAAAAAGAGAAATCCACTATACTAAGAGACTGATGATAATTTACCATTGGGAGGAAGTTGAGACTGATAACAAATGTCATTCAGTGTTGATCAATTAACATTACAGAGCTCTGCATTAAACTTGTATGTATGTATACACATATGTGTGTATGTATGTACGTGAACCCTTCCCTGTCTTGTCCAGTGTCCCTTGGGCCAGGGTTATAATGTGAGAAAATAAAATCTGACCTTTGTTTGCTTTCTAAGAACTAAGACACCTTTCCCCAAGGAGAGGTCTTAAACAAAATGCAAAGAGATAATAGAGATAAAGAGATAAAGTTGACAGGTTTTGTAGCCCTGTGTAGACTTCATTCTGCAGTAAGGGATATCAGTGTCTTGAAAAGGCATCTTCTAACAAAGTTGATCAAACTAGAGGGAAATTTTTCAGGACTCCCGCGAGAGACCAGCAAGTAGGGCCATGTGGTGGAGTGGCGAAGGCTTTGGACTTGGACTAGGGGAAAGGGAGGTACGTGGGTTTGAATTCTGCTGAAGATAAGTCTTAGCTGTGTGAGAGTGGGCTGGAAGGAATCCAAGGAGATGACTTCTGTAAAGCCGACGTGAAAGGGCTCTAGGTATGTCAGCAGCTTTGATTCCGGTGCATTGAAGTGTTGAGGATTTGTGTCCCCTGAGATTTTGGGTGTACCTCACTGGGTGATCTCGAGAGCCAGAAAAATTGTATACAATTTTTAATGTATTTGGGAACATATATTTTAAAAGAATTCTAGGTGAAAAATTGTCCTTCCCACCAACTTATCTTTTTGAAAATTGAGATTTTCCTGTATTCTCTTTTCTTTAACACATATGCTCCTTTCTAGCTAACATATATAGCACTTTACAAAGTGCTTTGTTCTGTTCTCTTGTTTGAGATCTGGACCACCAGGAGCATATTAGTACTTCTCTTTACTGGGCATCTTCATTAGCTTCAAGAACTCTGGGAGTGGAAAGGCTCTTAGAGTCCTCCGTTTTCCCTCCTGAGCACATTTTGGAGAAGAAGAAATGGGAACTGAGAAAGGAAAGTGATTCCCGGGGTCTTGACTAGCATCATGTCTAGAACAAGCCGTGTTCCTCCATGGAGTTTGCAGCTTCCTGTATGACACATCCCATTTCTCTGTCCTGCACATGTCTTCTTGATAATTGTTGTGACTTTGAACGTGTGAAAGCTCACACTCTCAAAAACATGCATTTTAAATTTTAAATGAAGCTAAGATGGAAGAGGCAGAAAGGCGAGTAAGAGAAGATAAGGGCCTGGGAATTGTTGGTTTCTTCCAGCAGCCCGGTTAGACTGGCAAGGCCGCTGACTCAAGAGCTAGGCTTACAGGACTGGAACTCACCAAATCCCGACCTGACTCTCCCTCTCCCGAGTTCTTCACAGCACAACACAACAACTGGAGTTGACCACACAAGACTGTTACCCAGTATGCCGCCACAGAAAGAGGACGGGCTTTGTGATCACAGGACATGGGTTCACTTACAGCTCTGCGACCTTGGTCATTTCCCCCCTTCTGACCCTTGGCTTCTGCTTCTTTAAAGTGTTGGGGTTCTGATTAGACGGTCTCTTATTTCCTTTCCAGCATAGTTTAGGACTGTGTAACGTGGCTGTCTTAAGGAAAAAAAACCAGGTTCTTCTAGGCTGCAGGGAGACAATGACAGAGATTCAGTTGCCCATGAATACAACAACAAATGAAGTAATAAGGGAATGCCTGGGATAGGTTGCAAGAGAGAGCCTAAGGGAGGGGTGTTTGCTGAACCTCACAACTAAAGGGACCTTAAAGGTTCTCTGTGTCAGTTGTGTTTTTGCTGTGAATTTTAAACAAAGATCAAATTAATAAGACAGTAGAATAATACATGGCAGTGGCTGCTTAGTGGTTTCTAAGCTCCTTCACGCTCAGCTGAGGAATGAGTTTTCTTGGACTCCTTTCTTTTTTGAGTCTGTGTAAGGTGAGAGCTGTGGCCTGCCTGCCTTGCCATCTAGCTGCCATGGCTGAGATAGCCATGCATGGGTCCTCGGAAAACTAAGCTTTCCTGTTAGGACTCTCTTTACCCATGACCTCAGCAGCGTGGCAAAAATCAGTGCCCTAAGCCTTAAGAAGGGAGAATAAAGACACATGATAGGCTGTAAGCCCCATGGCTTTTTATAGCTTGGAGTGACTTTCCCATCACTGCTTTGAAAGAAGAATGCCGTTTGCCCAAAGCAGATGAGAGATTTCTCTTGGAATAGAGCCTGGCAGAAAGAGAAGATTCTCTCTAAAGTTAAGTACTTAGAGCTTGGTGAGGAAATCTGAGACAGTCTTACCCTCAGCTGGCTTTCCTCATTTCTCATTTTAAGATGGAGAAGGCTAGAGAAAGCCTTTGCTTTTTTCTGTTGTTGTTCTTTGTCCCTGGGCCTCACTGCCCACTGACAAATCCCCGGCCAAGCTCCGGTGTTGGGGGTTGCCGCTGGATGCATCTCTGTGGGCTCTCACCTTCTCTCCCTGTGGTAGCTTTGGTATCACAGCTCTTAAGGGCATCTCGAGCAGCTTGGGTGGAGAAAACCAGAACGTTAAAACTGTTGTCAATTCTGATAGCTCCTCTGTCCAATGATCCATCTCAGCAAGTTATTTTAATCTGATTTAACAAAGAGAAACTTTCTGTAGGTGAGAACTAGACAAAGAATTCTGCATAAGCTTGGGAGGTGAGGCATGAAGGAGTTTTCAGGCTTTAACCTAGAGGCCATGAGGTCCCACTGTGGAAGGGGAGTAATGTGGCCAGAGTATTTGGGCAGTTGTGGGAAGAGGACCCCAGAGGGGCATGGCCAGCAGATAACAGGACTTTTACCACCATGGCTTTCTCAGGGGGAAGTTTGTCAAAGGATTAGGTTCCCCTCTCAATGGGAATCAGAATATTTACACATATAAACATTAGTCAAGCTATAAATATTTGTGCTTTTAGTCAAAGTCTCCAAAGCCCTGACCCACAGAACATTTCTCCTTTTTTCTCTCTTACCCAAGTATATCTTCAGACCTTTTCCTTTTCTCACCTCAGATACACTGAAAGTCTAACCACAAACACCTGGAGGACAGAACAAGCTGAGAAAGCTGCAGCTCCATTAGACACAATTCTTTTTTTTCTCCTTCCCTGTGTCCTTGACTTTCCCAACCAGGAAGTCACCAGGTTTTTTAACACACACATACATATGCGTGCACACACACACACACACACACACACACACACAAATATACACTCCATTTTGACTGCTTAAGGAAACCAAGAGGCAAAGTGACTTGGACAAAGGGACCCAGTAGCAGAGTTGAAATTCATACCCAGCTTGGCTGTCTGCAGTTATAGTATGCTGCCCATGTCGCCATGCTGCTGTCATTCTTTTGGAAAGAAGCTTTGAGGCTTCCTTTGCATTTGCTTTCTCACCCTGACTTTATCCCAGCATATATACCCAGCATCCTTTGCCTCACTACTGTGTCCCACAGATGCAAGGCCTACTACCTTCTCTGCTATCAGCCAGATGGGTTACCCCAGTGAAATGGCAACTAATCTGGAGCTTCTGCCTAGAGGCTGGCTTGCCCAGCTCTGAGCTGGAAGTATTTGGCACCCAAATTCTGCTTCCAGAAGTGTTCCAGTGGGCGTAAGGGTGGGGAAGAAGGGACTGGCAGCTGTGAAGGAAAAAAGGAGGTTGGCATAACCCTGGGCACCAACCGCTGGCACTGTCTGGCAGACCTAGCCTTTGGTGTTGCTTGTTCTACAACCACGTGTTTTCAGAGTTTCTTCCCTGAGTTCCTAGAA